TACCTACTTGGCATTTCCATCACCAGAGACCTCAGCAATCACACCATCTCCCTCTCCCAACATCAGTACACTCTGGACATTCTGGAGCACTTTGGCATGAAGGACTGCAAGCCTGTGTCCACTCCAATGGACCCTGGTTCACGCCTCACCAAGGATATGTCTTCCAAGACACCAGAAGAAGTGCAACTGATGAAGGACATTCCCTATCTTGCTGCTGTTGGTGCTCTGATGTATTTGGCCACCACCACTCGTCCTGACATTACCTATACTGTTGGAGTTCTTGCCAGATTCAATTCCAATCCTGGGCACACTCACTGGGGTGCTGTCAAGCACTTATTCCACTACTTGCAAGGCACCCTCAATCACTCACTTGTCCTTGGCCCTGATCCTAATTCCACTGAACTCTTCACCACTTTCTCTGAAGCTGATCATGGTGGTGACAAGGACTCTGGACGTTCTACTGGTGCTTACCTTGTCAAGATTGGATCTGGTGCTGTCTCTTGGAGTTCCAAACTTCAAAGCATTGTTGCTCTTTCCACCACTGAGGTAGAATATATTGCTGCTGTTGAAGCTGGCAAGGAGATCTGCTGGATGCGAAATCTGCTGAAGGAAATGGGCTATCCTATCACCTCTCCTTCCACATTTCACATTGACAACCAATCTGCCATCTCTGTGTCCAAGAATCCTGAACACCATGGTCAAATGAAGCACCTTGATTTACGCTGGCATTGGTTGAAAGATATTGTTGGCTCTGGCCAAATTGCTCCCACCTTTGTGCCCACTGCTGAAATGCCTGCTGATTTGTTGACCAAGGCTCTGGCTAAGCCTAAAGTTGACATGTTCAGACAGATGATGGGACTTGTTAGATCAGGGGGGAGCTAATGCTTGGGAGGTGCAGCATCAGGGGGGAGTGTTAATTTTGGTGATTCTACACCTAGTTGTGCTATCTATTTTCCCTTCTTTCTAAATCACTTTCCTCTTTATTCTTTTTGCTGTATTGTTCAGTATTCACTGAGCATTCTATAATTTTGCCTTTGATTTGTTTACCTTTGTTTACAAAACTTCGGACTAGTATTGCAGAGTCCAGTATTCCTATTCTTTAGTTATTCATACTGGACTCTAGGTACTGTACACATTCTGTACTCTCTGATAATATAGTTACTCATACTGGACTCTAATTCTGTCCCTGTTAGCTCTCAGCAAGTGGCTAGACACTTCCCAGAAGTTCTCAATTGAACACAATGCACTTTCTATCATCAGCAACCGGGAGACTCCAATACACCAGGATTGTCTCTCCAAGCAGAGTGGTATAACACGTTGGCAAGCATAAGAGACTACGATAAGGCCATTCTGGAGCTCACCGGGGCAGGTTTTTGCTTCAAGTTTGATAGTGGGACTATTGCTGCATTTAGTGGGAAGTTGCTGAATCGTGGGGTTTTGTCCTGCAGTGGTGAGAGAATATGTTTTGCATATTACATGAGGGAGTATATACATACAATGTGCAGGGTGGAGGCCCCAGGATGGTCAGTACCTTTACATGATCATGTTATGCAGTTATAGATGTGGAATAGCAGCTGAACTGTCTTAATCTGGGTACATCACTGCTGCAAGTCTGTAGCTATTTGTAGTAGCTTGCTCAATAAAAAGGGTGAAACCCAGGGACCCTGCAGTTGGATACCAGGAGTGAGTAGAAGCCCAGTAATCTTTTATTACTACAAAGCCCGGGGAGTAATGGATTGCTAGTCCAGGAACATTGGATTACTAAAAAGCCCAGGAATACTAGACTACCATTACATAGTATAATGGACCCCGGGTCTCTATTAAATTGCGATCCACTATTCTAGTTTCCTCAAACCACTATGCCTAGCCTCTGGAATAACTCCTTTGCCTGTTCTGAGAACTGGTTCCATATCCTGATTTGCCTCTCTGCATATGCTACATGACCGGGTGAGCCTCCATTTCATTGGCATCTCAAAAACCCTTCCAACGCTTAGCTTGATGTTGAAAATACTGAACTGTCCACTTCATTTTGAGGCACACCAGAATATCTTCTTCTATCCACCTATTGTACATGGCTTTTGCTCTTAGCCAATGAACCTAGTAAACTCTATTTTATTACTAAATGTTAGCTGTGTGGTACCATGAAACCGTGACCGGGCTGGGGCACATACATTCAGACATCCAGATCTGTTGGGAGGTATCACCTTTCAGATCCATGCTCCAAAACCATGGCAATGCAGTGTTGTGGAGTCTGGTTGCATTAGGATTCATGAGCTGGGTACTTGTCTTGAGGTGGTCTGTTACAATTGACGTACCAGTACCTACTTACACTTCACTTTTCGTACTTTTACTTTTACTTTTTCCAAGTCACATGACCAGTCATGTGACCATTTACTTTACTTCACATTTTCGACTTTTCATAGTCATATGACCAGTCATGTGACACATCACCTGACCAGTGTTTAGGCTCACCATGTGACAGGTTACATGCTAGACATTGGACTTTAAACTTTATTTACAACTGTACAGTACCTCATGTATTTTAGTATATATACAGGAGCAATACATGGGGAAGGACTCAGCAAGTCCTCCTGTTGTCTAGCACAACAAACTCACTGCAGCCTAAGGGGTAACCACTCCCCCATCATTTCTTTTATAGTGTGTTCCTGTGTGCGCCAGGGCAAATAACTCTTGGTTGTTACAGGTCTGGTTTAAGCTCTTGATATTTTTGTAATATTTTTGCCCAGCACCCCAGAGATATGATTGCATGCCGGGCTCTCTTATATATGGTGGAGTGGACTTTGATGTTGGCTTCCACATGGGTAACCTCTGTCCAAGCCTTCAACTTTTTATTTTGAGGGCCCCGGGCCTTTCTCACCTTTGTCCAGAACAGAAAGGACTTTTGACCCAGTAGGATATGTACACTTTAGTCAACCTCTTTCCATAGCCTCTTAGGTTGACCAGTTTCTGTTATTTGATGTGCCTAAGAGGCTTTTATCCTGGGATTATCCCATAGGCAGGTAATCCATGCAGGACTCCCTTGAGCTAATGTTATCCAGGAGCAATTTGAGAACCCTGGGAGTCCCAATTGGTGCCAGGGGTCCTAGCACTAATTAATTCCAAAAATCCTATACCCTATATCAATATAAAGCAGGACTATCCTGGAATAACCCAAAATCAAAGTGTTTCACTTTAAGGTGTGTATTGACTAATCTAATTATGTTATAGAATATCCTGTGGGAGTATCCATGGTACAATAAAGAAATTCTAATGTAGTATAAGTAGTACCCAGCGTAGTCTCATTGGATACTATGTGCAGCTTGCAGGTACTTCTAATGAATATCTGGGTATAATAGGGGTATTATGGATAATTGTTAGGATACTAATAGTAAATATAGTAGTCTCATTTGGTGTTCTAGACATTTCAGTGGTAATTCCCAAGGACATATAAGTATAAGGAGGATGTTCTAGATGTCTTGGCTAGTTATGGGGACCCCCAAAGAACTTCCATATAAAATAGGAACATTCTACTGGGGCATCTGAGACAGCCAGTAGGACATAAGTAGTAATGTCATTGGATGTTATGGATACTGTACAAGTACTCCAAAAGATATCCATGTATAATAAAAACATTCTGAATGACCATCAGGATACTAACAGTACAAATATTAGCCTCATTCAATATTCTGTGTTGCCCATTGGGATATAATTAGTACCTTCAGTAGTTACATTTGATGCTTTGGACATCATGTGGTACTCCCAAAAGATATCCAGGTACAATAAAAACATCTTAAGTGACCATTGGGACACCAACAGTATAAATAACAGTCTTATTAGATGTTTTGAACAATGTGTGGGTGTCCTCACAGGACATCCAGGGTATAATAAAAACATCCTACTAGATTATCTGTAGTACCCAGTGGGACACAAGTAATACTCAAAGTAGTCACATTAGATATTCTGACTTTATTTTGTACTCCCAAAGGATATCCAGGTATAGTACAGAATGTTTTGGATGAAAATTGGGACTCCTGCAGTACAAATAGTAGTCTTATTGGATATGTTGGACACTTTGTGGGTAATGGTAAAGAATATCCAGATATAACAGAGACATTAGAAATGCCCACAAGGACACCAGTAGTTTTATTAGATGTTCTATATAATTGTGAGTACTCCTAAAGGGTATCCATGTATAATAAGGAGATCCCAGATGCTCAAATAGGATATAAGTAATACCCACGGTAGTCTAATTGGATGTTATGGACACTATACAAGTACCCCAAAGGACATCTGGGGTGTATTTGGTGCTCTCAAAGGGTATTTGGGTATAAATAAGAATATTTTGGAGGACCATTAGGATATCAGCAGTAGTCTCATTGGATCTCTTGGACAATATCTGAGTGCTGTTAAAGGACATCTATGGCAATGTAGGGACATTCTACTGGAGCACCTGGGATACTTGGTAGAATACAAGATGTACCCAAGGTAGTCACATTGGATGTTGTGGACACCATACAAGTACTCCAAAAGATATCCTACATAACTAGTGGGAATACCAGCAGTATATATATTAATCTCATTGAATCTTCTTGATACCACATGGATACAATAAAGATATCCTACTAGACCTTCTGGGATACCCAGTGGGACTTGAGTAGTACCCAAAAGTAGTCAAAGTAGTCTCATTGGATGCTTTGGACACCACTTGATACTCACAGAGCATATCTATTTAGTAGGAATATTTTAGATAGTCATTGAAGCAGTACAAATATTAGTTTTGAGTACATCCTAAAATAGTCCTACTTTGTATTAATATAGGATGGTCATTTTTCAGATTCTTAATTAATACTAGGACCTCTGCCATCAATTGGAACTCCCAGGATTCTTAAATTGTTTCTGGATAACCTTAGCTCAAGGGAGTCCTGTATGGATTACCTGCTTATGGGATAATCCCAGGATAAAGGCCTCTTAGGCACATCAAATAACAGAAACTGATCAACCTAAGAGGCCATGGAAAGAGGTTGACTGAAGTGGATATGTATCTGATGCAAAGCGTTGTTGGCCTGACTTTCCTGGAATGTAAGCTCCTGGCTTACTAGATGATGTAGGCCTTTGATTTTGCAAGTGCCTTTTCCTAAGTTAGAGGGTAACACCAATTTTCTCCTCTCAATAGGCTCATTATCGCCATTGAAGGAACCCAGGAGGTCAAACAGATTTATGTCTTCTGCATCATTGTCTTTATTGGAGTTTGGCCACCCTGGGACCTCCTCAAGAAACTCGGTGACATCATTATTGCCTTGATACCTTTCAACCTTGAGGTTGAAAGCATCTACATGGGAGAGCAGGTGTTGACACCTTTCCTCTAACTCCAGTCTTTCTGCAGTTGTGCCTTTTTTGTTGATTTGTTTTGCATACATTTGCAGCTGTATCCTGTTATGTAGAGTTAATCAGCATTCAAAAAAGCATATATTCCAGGGATCCTGGGGGCCCGGGGACTTTCTAAGTCTCTTCCAACTTCAGACCCACAGATAACCAAGCAGCAGTTCCTTGAGCCACTCCATTTCTTGTTTCCTGTTGTGATAAATGCAGCTGGATTTTTGCTTTTCTGGGTAAAGAGACTTCATATATATCCATGGCGTCTTCTTTATGCAGCCAGTTTTGCTGTGCCTTTTTTTTCAGGGCAATCCAGGCCTCTGCAATGGAATTGATGTTTTTGAATGCAAGCCTTGTTGAACCTAGGATGAGCAGCATCTCACCCAGCCAGGTCGTCAATGATGTGCACAATAATATTATGTCTAACATGGCCCGGCTGGCACACTCTGCCGGACTCCGCTGGCCCCGTCTATTGGACAAGAGCCGAACGTCTGAGGGAGCAGCATTGGGACAGCTACACCATTTAACGAGCAAATGATGTATGCCGGATCTGTCTACCAGAAGCATCATTATGTTGCCATTGATGTTGGTGGAGCCAGTCTTTGTGGGCATGTCACCCATTGTGATTACTTCTTCATCTTCCCATAACTCTTCTTCCTCATCCTTTGATGGGGCACCTGGAAAATTGTCCTGGGTACCGTCCCCCCAGTAATAACCCTCCGGCAAGTTGCCCTCTGCTAGACTGCAGTTGTCATCATATCCCAGGCATAGTTTCCTGGCATGGCCCAGATGAATTACCAAGCCAGCTCAATAAAGCCAAGAAGGTTCAAAATGTGTGCCCACCCATTGCTCAGCTCTATGAAATGGTAACCTCTGGTGAGCATCCCTTCAGCATGACATGCAATACTCTGGTTTCCTCAAACATTCTGTGTATTGCCAAGTTCCTTCTCTCACTAAACAAAGGCTGCAAGTCTGTCCCGGGACTGCCCCTCTTCCTGTATGAGGACTTGCAGATACTCTGAACAATGATCCAGCCATTGTCCCATGTAATTATGTTGTGACTAAACCAATGTCAGACAAATAATGGTGGGTGTGCTTACCCAATAGACTTGCCTTCCTTGGAGGTATAAGCAATAGCTGAAGGACAGATGGTCAATGTCTTGAATGGGGAACATATCATGTTTATGATGAGTTTGATGGGGTGTTCACAAAGTTGATTGGGATATGCGGTCTTTCACACTTATTTGTTTTGTACACACACCTCTGCTTGTTTTGAACTCCTTCCAATCTACTTTTTGTAACACTGGAGCCAAATATTGGGAGGAGCTGCGGCCCATGCTAAATAGTTCTGCGGAGAAGAGATGATATTGTTAAACCAGACACCAGTTTGAAGATGCTCATACAAGATATTTATGATAGAAGGCAGTAATCAATATGGAGCCTATGCTTCTAATTTACGTTAGCTTCTATGACACCTAGGCCTCACGAGGCTAATTAACTTGATGGACCTGGCACTAAATTTCCATATATGGAAGCAATATATCAGGGAAGGCATTAGCCAGGAGGTACCTGACATGTTCTGGGCCTTAGCCAAAGGCCCAGTATGGAGTTAAGGCAATGATATCATTGGTCAGATCTGACCGAAGGGCCGAATATTTGCTTGGAATGGATGAATGTGGTATTCAATTGGCTGAAAATTTGCACTCAAACGGAAAAGATAGTTAGCGCTCATCTTCAAACACGCACCTCACTTTTTAACTCATACCACATTTAATCATGCCTGAAGTACAGTTTAATGACGCCCAAATTGAAATACTCAATGCACATTTGGAAGAGTTCTGGGGTGCAAATTTTCTACAATGGGGACGTGTACTTGATAATACCTGGGATGAAGTCAGGGAAATTTTGAGAGGACATGTACTAACCAACATCAAGGATTTAACTGACATCAAGCAGATATGATTACTCTTAATTGTCAAAGTATATCATCATGTTTACAATTAATATTGCAGTGGGTCAGGCATTGGTTGTACAACCATAGTGGTAACAAAGAGCCTGGGAACAAGGTTTCCAGGCATGGAAAGTATTTAAGTCTGAACCAAGTGCTCAACTTAGTGAAGAAGGAGGTGGAGAAGAGGATGTGGGACCTTTACGGAGTCAAGCCAAGGCAGTAAGGTTATATTAGTAAACTGCAGAGTGTCCTGAAGACGATGTTGACTGAGCTCAGCGAGGAGGAGCTAGCTGAACTAAAAGAGAAGTGTGAGAAGTGGTATATTGATGGGCCATCAGAGGAAGTGAGACAAAAGTGAGTATAATGTTCTTTACTCACCTAGGACATATAGTGACTCAAGATACCCAGAGCTGCTGAAATTAAGGGTAGGAAAGTAGTGAAGGACTTCCAGATGTGGAGCCGGGATCTGGGAATGTTGAGTTTTGTGCTCACTGCCCATAGAGATACAAATGGAACCATTTGTGTGTCCTTGTAAGTAGTCTACGGATCCTAGGTCTCAAACTGGGTGTGTGGTTACTGAAACTGCTTGCTTTAATTGCAGCCATGAGCAAAATGACAAAGCTGGGTTTGAGCTTTTTAGTAAGGTACAACCCAACTGGCAAAACATAAAGATATGGGAGGCTTGGGGCAAGTATGCACAAAGTCAGTTTGGTAAATTTCCAGCTTAATGAATAAACATCACAGAGTACTGAACTGTATGTAGCTGATATAGATGGGTCTGTGCCAAAGGAGAGCCTACCAAGCAAGCAGAAAGAAAAGATCAAGCTTCCACTCAATGATAATGGATATCCCATCCTTGTAGATGAGTATCTGTCTTCCCCGGCAACCTTTTCAGACTTGCAGGCTATCATCAGGTTTTTCCTGATGACACATTAACAGATTTCCACTGGAAACGCAAAGGCTTCAGTACCTTAGACCAGCCTTGCGGAGTGCCCAGGCAACTATATTGACTTGTTAAAGGGGTACAAGTTCCGGGAACCATTATGTATGACAAAGTAGGAGACCTGGGGTCTGTTGGACCATTGGTACAACTGGCAGAACAATAAGTTATCTTCAGGTTCAAATCTAGTCTGCACCTGGTAGCCAATAAAGGAAAGGGTAAAGAGAAGGCAGTAATGAAGAGAGTCCTTCCCAAAGCGGGAATGGTTGTACCCAGAAGCAAATCCACAGACAAGGAACAAGAGGAGAAAGAGGGGTTTGATGAAATTATAAGTGATGATGAACACGGTGCCAATGTTCAAAACCAGCTGCAAGGTGACAAATTGTAGCCTTCCAGGAACCAATAACCAGGCCCGGGCCCTCCAAACTGATGCCCAATCCCGTCCTGGCTCCTTCTATCTTGGGGCAGCAATCTGTAGGTGTAGAAGAAGTGGACAAGGATAGTCCCCGGCATGCATCTATTACATACAAGTCTCAGAGGAGGTTCCTCGCCAGGTTATGTACTGGAAAGGAATACCTGAAGTTGGTGGATGCAGTGTACCAACTACCAAAGGACAAGCCTGGGCACAGCTCCCAGAGTAATGGCCAGCCAGAGGATTACTTGGACTACTGGCTGTTATGGGTCTCATGGGGCTATGTCCATAGCATGATTCCATTGGAGATTCACCAAGGTAATAGAACTCAAAACCTGTTGAGGTGGCTCCGCATGCAGCTTTATCTACATTGTCTGGGGTCCCCGGGACAGCCACACAGGTATCAGAGGCCATACAGCTATGGCCCTGATATGTTTGGCGGTAGGAATGCTGCTCCGGGACCTTCATACAATCCAAATTGCTGATGAGGACAACGACCTGACATGGTCATACATTGAGTTTGCCATGGTGGGCAAAACTATCCTCCAATTCCGCAGGGACATGGCCAAGGCAATATAAAACAGCTTGGAATCCACCTTCCCTGACAAAGCAAGGCCTCTACCCAGGATGGTGACAAGGGCAATGCAGAGTCCGACCAAACATGGGCATGAGGAGATGGATGGGGAACCCGGGAACATTGTACACAGGACAAGATCAGGTAATAGTCCAGTAAAGTGGCTTCAACAAGCCAAGGACTGTTACAATTAATATACCAGCACCTACTTACGCTTCACTTTTGTACATTACTTTTCATTTTTCCAAGTCACATAACCAGTCATGTGACCATTTACTTTACTTTACATTTTCGACTTTTCATAGTCACATGACCGGTCATGTGACTCATCACCTGACCAATGTCTAGACTCACCATGTGACTGGTCACATGCTAAACATCGGACTTTAAACCTTACTTACAACTGTATAGTACATATGTACAAACAAAACCTGTAGTAGTATATATACCCCAATAGATCAAGGAGACTCCTCAGCAAGTCCTCTTGTTGTCTAGCACAACTAATTCACTGCAGCCTAAGGGGTAATCACTCCCCATCATCTTCTTTATAGTGTGTTCCTGTGTGCTCCAGAGTAAATAACTCTTGGTTGTTACAAATACCATCTTTTTTGATCCCCCATATACTCAGAATTTGTCTGAATAAGTTGCCATAGTCGCTTCAGAATCGTTGTAGACGTCCCACAGCCATATAACCAAATTTCCAACAAAGTGCCAAGCTTGTTGTGAGGTCCTGCTTGTATAGACCCAAAATGCGGACTCTCAGGAGTCATTCCAGTGTCATATTATCCACTCTATATTCCTCCTCAACTCATATTATCACTCCCACACTCATATAATCACCTTTCTAGCAAGACCACAACTTACTGTGACATATCTGCTCTGTTTAAACTTAAAAGTGTGGACTCTGCAGACTGACCTGCAGACTCATTTGCAGACATACAGAGCTGTGGAATCATCTGTGGACTCACTCCATTGTAGTCTTCAGCACTTTCTTCTGAATCCCTTGGTTGATTCCTGCCGGTTGAACAACACATAGGTGTTTGGACATCAGGACTATACTCAGTTCTCTCCCAGACACCTTTAGCATCTTACACCAGAGATGTGAGGATGTGAGTGTTGTAGCCATCCCAGTTTAGATGATCTTACAGCCTGGGCTGAACAGATTATAGATCACTTGGCTATAGACCATTCTCAGGCAATGTTCCCATGTTGCCAAGAATCACTTACAAATAGCTTATCAATGCGTTGAAGTTAGACAGGTCCCAGGCCATCTTGATGGGTCCCGGGGTAGAGTTCTCAGACTTGTTTCTTATCACACATTATCATACTAAGGTTGTAGCATAGGTAGCTCAAATTTATATGGATCAAGTAATTAAATGTACACTGAGTGGTGAGTGAGGAGAAACTAAGTATATGCAAATGAAATCTAGTTGAAAAAATGAAAGAAAAAATAAAATTTATATTACAAGTCCATTGAACTATGATTTTTTCTAATTGTACTCCCTCTCCTTCACTTTCAACCTTGCTACCTCATCCTCCAGCTGGCTAATCCTCTCATAGTCATCCCCAATGATCCCCAGCCTTTTTTCCATCCTTGCTATACTTTTTTCCAAGGAAGGAGGCTGACTCCACTGCTGTGCCAGGGATAACCATTGTATGTGGCTGGGAACCGGGGATGAGAAACTGAAGTCGATGAGGTCCTGGCCATCACTTTGAGGAGTGACAGCGGTACAGACCTCACCTCCTGGGGGTATATGAGGCCTTGGTGGCTGAGGAAAATCCCCTTGTTGGGCCTCAAAAGGCCAGTAAAATGGAGGTCCGGGGGATGGATGAGGGGTTCTGGGAACGTTCGAAGGTGTTTCTTCCCACCTAAATGGGTTGGGAGAAACCGGGAGGAGAAATTGGGGTGGGATGGAAAAATGGGGACGGAAAGTTGAAGGGAGTGTTGAGCCAAGGGAGCGTGATATCCAGGGGGCTGGGGGATGGCAATGGCAGCCTTTCCACAGCATCCAAAACCTCCCTGGCAGGAGAGGGGATGGCCTCCCTCATCCTGGCAATCCACTTGGGGCTGGGATGGATTGCATTGGCATCCATCTCCCCAAGTTCTCTATGGGACACCCAGGGAGGCCTCCTTAACTCCTGGGACGGGACTGGCGCCTGTGGAGGGGAAAAAGGGGTTGAAGGGTGTGCAATAGGTGGGGGAGTGTAGTGAGCAGGATCTGGGATTGCTGCTCATGAAGGTGGGGGACCCTAATTGTGAACCAGGTCCCTGTCATTCCATGGGGCTGGTAGACCAGCTTGGGTGCTCCCCGGGGTGGCCCAATCTTGATAGGATGGTCAGGCGTGGTGAACAGAGCTCTTGGCGCATCTGGCTCTGAGGCCACTGGCTTCTAGGACTTGCTCCCCAGGCTTGCGTCGTTGTCTCAGATGCGCTTGTACTTCTCCTGACTGCACTTGTCACAGGACATCCTCCACTTCTTTGTCTGCTTACTCCTGCTGATGGTGCAGATCTTTTCTTGGGTGGCAAAAGATATTGCAATGGTGTTTTTGGTTGAGGAGGGGTTGAAAGTCTGGTGTAGGGTGTTATGTCTGAGTGACTGAGATGTTAAAGGGTTCAGATGTGTTATACATGGGCCTGGTGCCACAAATTGTGCCTATGGGAATGTTGAGAAAAATGCACATAATGAAAGCTGGACTTGGTATTTTATTTTTCACAATCAAACACCAGAAATGTTGCAATTACCAACCTCCCCAGGTCATTCCTCTGTGCCCTGCCCGGGGCCCTCCTCAGATTTCTCCCCAGCACCCACTCTTACAAACAATATATTTGACACCAGGTGTGACAACACCAGCAAGACACAGTCTTGGGGCACTGGAGCACAACAAAAACAACACTCAGCAGAAGAGGAAGAGGTGGGAGTGGTTACCCATTTGGTAGGAGTGAGTTAGTTGTTGGTAGACAACAGGAGGACTTGCTGAGTCCTTCCCTATGTATTGCTCCTGTATATATACTAAAATACATGTGGTACTGTACAGTTGTAAATAAAGTTCAAAGTCCGATGTCTGGCACGTGACTATGAAAAATCGAAAATGTAAAGTAAAGTAAATGGTCACATGACTGGTCATGTGACTTGGAAAAAGTGAAAGTAGAAGGACAAAAAGGTGAAGCGTAAGTGGGTACTGGTACGTCAATTGTAACACCGGGGCGCCATGCAAGAGACCTAATTGTAACGGGAAAAATGTTTTTGATATTGGGGTGCCATCCAGGAGACCTAATAGCAACCCCGGGAAAAACATATTTGATATTAGGGTGCCATGCAAGAGACCTAATCGTAACAACCCTGGGAGCACAAAGTTAGGGATGCTCGGGCCCTCAGTCTTTGACATAGGGGTCCCTAGTGTACAAAGGTCATCATCAAAAGCTGGAAATTCAATGCCTGAACATTGAAACCAGGATATAGTGGAAAAGGAGGGCTTGTTTTCAGTGTTGGTGCTCCATCTGTGGCAGAGAAACCAAAAGAGAGCACAGAGACAAATGTCTTTGACCTGGGTATACCATTATTTAAGTAGATAATAGCATTTCTATATGTAAATAAATACCTAAAAATGTCTCATGGATGCCTCAAATCCATCAGGACCTTAGAGGGCAGAATTATCAAGATTTTATAAAAGCTCAGATATCTATCAAGAGTGGAGGTAAGACCACACTACATCTCAGCAATCTATTACACTCTTTGCCACTCATCATCCTGTGACCCAGCCGTGTCATCTCCAACACGCAGACTCTCACCCAGCTAGTCTTAAGATAACACATTTTCAGACCTTTAACTTTTATTCTCCTCTTTAACCTTTGACTGTAGTTTTCACACACAGTGCCACGTGGCACTTTCCTTTTTGTTCAAACTCCTCTTTCTCGCGCCAAATGGCCTTTCTTCTTATTTTAAATACAAAGTATCTCACGCAGTGGAGCTGGTCACATGGGCTGTGCCCATGACATCATCAGCCACTGCCTTCATCAACTGTATAGTACATATGTACAAACCAACCTGTAGTAGTATATATACCCCAATAGATCAAGGAGACTCCTCAGCGAGTCCTCCTGTTGTATACCAACTAACTCACTGCAGCCTAAGGGGTAACCACTCCCTCATCACTACCTTTATAGTTTGTCTTAGTGTGCGCCAGAGTAACTAACTCTTGGTTGTTACATTAGGACTTGCTCTTTCTACTCTCTCGCACTTTGTGCAAACCCGGTGTCGATGATGAGAACTGTTGTTAGAAAACCACACACAAAAACAAACTAACAAACAATCCTCCCAGATTCCACGGAACTTGTTTATGGGCTTTGCCTCCTAGAACAGTGGGTGCTCTGGTTGTTCGTGGGGTGGTATGTATGAAGATCCTTCAAAGTAAAACCCAGAGATGTATGAGTGTGGGTTTTAAGGAGGAGGGATAGTTGAATTTATAGGAGATAGGGGCTTAATGTCGAGTATAGATGAGCACTACCTTGCTGATTGTAGCACAAGGTAGGTTTGAGAACGATGAGGATGACGAGGTGACGAGGTTCCCAGTGATAGCAGGCTCCTGACGCACAAACTGTAGTGCTCAGAAGGACTCTAATTGAAAGGGATAACAATGACTTCAAAAGTGGGAAGTGACGATGACAGCAGTTAACAGTGGTAACAGTGGGAAGTGTTGTGACCACACTGGATCACAAGTAGCAGAGTAGTGAACTTGAAATTAGAGAAGAAGTCTGGAATCAAGTTCTTGTTATTTTTTTTACAAGGTAAAATACAGGGGTTTATATAGTGAAAAAAAAGTAGGCTATGCACAGTATAGCTGTGCAAAAAAAATGAGAAAGAACATGAAGGAAAGAATGTATGCTGATGGATCCTGCATAGGTAGTACAGGATAAGATTGTCAAAAAAAGGAAAAGAAAGGGATAGAACAATGAATGCTGTGAGTAATGTCACAGGTTTGTACAGCCATAAAGTAAAGTCCAATAGCAAAAAGAGAGCAGGAAAATCATGATGTCATGGGAAGATGCAGTAAAAAAAGGGCAAGGCAAAATATTATCAGTATCAACACAGTTCCTTTATTGTCAGTCAGGCATTCTAAAAAAATATGTGTCCATAAAAATTATTCAAAAATCAAAAATAATTGCACTGTAAATGAATGTTCTGCTGAAAAAAAGAAACTGGAGCCACTGGTCCACCACCTAGTCCAAATCCAACAGTTCCATGGCCTTACCAATAGACTGGTTGTGTTGGACCACCTGATCAAACAAGGGAGGGAGAGGAGTAGTTCCAATTTGGAACAAGTGAGTCCCAGGCAGCGTGTGGTAGGTGTAGCTGTAGCGAAGACGATGGACAAAAGATAAGTGTACCCAAGTGAATGGGACAGCGATGAACATGGGTGACACAAGGGGATGAACCTTCTCCAGCTCAAAAACTACCCACCCACACTCCTGTGAGGCAACGATAAACTATAACAAAAACGAAACCTGTCTCCTTCTGCACTTGCAGGGAGTAAGGGGTTCAATGAGCTTGAGGTCGACAGACGCTAGTGAATATAGCGAGTAGAGGACTTTAAGAGGTAAGCTTCAAAGGTTCTTGTTGAGGAGTAAAGCGGGTAAATTCAGTAATAGAAAACTAAGGAGCCATACATGAATAGGTACGGCTTTATATAGGGAATTGTCCGTTCCTCAGACCGAAAGGAGAATATACGAAAAGTGGTCTGAGGAATTAATCAACCAATAAGAAAAAGGGAGAGTAACTATCGTACGACTTCTGACTTGATTAATCAGCAGGTGAGAGACTTGTACTAATAATAGAAGGTTGTCACGCGTGGTCAGGAACCGTATCCTCATGATGAGGTACGATCCTAGATAAGGCGTTATTAGTATTACCAGGCTTTACTGGGGCTTGGAGCTGGTTGGCGAGATGCCTACTACCAGTCCCTACCCAGTGTGCTGGCTGGCTGGGAGCAATACCCAGTCTCTGATCTGTGATATAAAATGGTAACGATGGTTAAGAAAGCCTGTGAGGGCTATGAGAAGTAGAACGGCAAACGATACCTCTAGCCCTAGAGCCAGAGGCGTAATGGGAAAAGCGTTCGAGAACCAAGACATAGCGAAGATAAGGAAATAATAAAACGGTCCTTACAGCTCCAACCAGGCAAGACGAGCGACCAATTTTTTGATAGTATATGATGGCAGATCGACGTCATGAAGATGGACCTGTTGCCCTATTTGGACCAGCCGTTGGGGCTTTGCTGATATCAGCAGTGGCACGTGATAGTCAACGGATTGGCAACGGAAGCGCATAGGAAGTGGTGACATCAGAAAAGGTGGGGGAGCAAAGAAGATGAGGAGGAGGAGGGTGGAGGTGACGAGTAGGTGAACTAAAATGGGGATCCAGAAATGACCGTCGGGTGTGGCTAGGCAAAGGAAGGGAAGTGAAGGAAACAACAAAAGTGAGGGCACAATGTAATGTGTAGCCAGTGGCAACGCAAAAATTTACCGAAATGCCGAAATGCGGAAAGTACCGGATAGAAAGCAAAGGTGAGCGTGACTGGATTGCCTAATAGAGGTGGTGCTGATCAGCCACAAGATTGAAAAAGGCAATATTAATTACTATTCCATGTGGCACTGTGCCTGTGTGGCGCAAAGGCAAGTCTTTTTGAATATTCACTTCGTTATTGACACCTGTCCATGCTACCAATCAACTTTGGTGCATGACAGCGGGTGGCTGTATCATGCACAAATGTTCTTTTGTTGTCGAGTACCAAGGACACAGAGAACAAGTCATTGCTGAAGCTACCCAACTAGGGAAAATTAATCTAATATTAGGCTGGACCTGGCTATTTAAACACAATCCTGAGATCAACTGGCAGACAGGGGTTGTCACTTTGTCACGTTGCCCTCAGGAATGTGTGAACCTGGGTAAACCAAGTCACGTCCGTCATAATGAGTGTCTTGAAAAGATAAACGCTGATCATGTTTATGAGCTCAGATTTTTGGAAAAGATTGACCATGACCATGACGAGGTGAAACCCTAGGAAGAGATTAAGAGGCTGGTACCTCCCGGGTACCATGACTTCTGGAAAGTCTTTTCAAAACATAAATCAGAGCGCTTCCCAGAGGCTAAGCCTTGGGACCATGCTATAGATTTGAAGAACACCTTCAAATTGAGAAAAGGACACATGAAACCACTCTCTGCTCCAGAAAGAGATGAGGTATCATGTTTCATAGATGAGCAGCTTAGGAAGGGTTACATCAGACCTTCCAAAAGCCCTATGACGTCCCCGGTGTTTTTCATTCCTAAAAAAAATGGAAAGAAGTGTATGATTATGGACTATTGTTATGTGAATGAGCACACAGTTAAGAATGCATATCCGCTGCCTTTAATCAGTCAGCCAGTAGACAAATTGGCTGGTGCCAAGACCTTAACAAAGATGGATCTCAGATGGGGGTACAATAATGTACAAATCAAAGAAGAAGATGCTTGGAAGGCCGTGTTCACATGCCACCGGGGATCTTTTGAGCCCCTCATTATGTTCTTTGGGTTGACCAATTCACCGGCGACCTTTTGGAGCATGATGAACGAGATCTTTGCGGATATGGAGAATTGTGTCGTCATTTACATTGATGATTTATTAATATTTACGAAGTCGGACGATGAGGCTGAGCATGACAGGATCGTGCAAAAAGTCCTTTGACGTTTACAGGAACAGGACCTATTTGTCAAACCCGAAAAATGTAATTTTAAATTGAAGGAAGTAGACTTCCTCGGTATGATCATAGGCCGGAACGGAATCAGGATGGATCCTGAGAAAGTTCAAGCTATATTGGATTGGCCAGATCCTACTTGCATCAAAGGAGTTAGGGCCTTCCTTAGCTTAGGCAACTTCTACCGGAGATTCATCGAAAACTTCGCAAAAATCACGAGACCATTGAACAATATCACAAAAAAGGATATTGTTTGGCACTGGGGCGCCAAAGAATAAGAAGCTTTTGATAAGCTTAAGCAGGCGTTTACAACAGCGCCCATATTAGCATTTCCAGAATGAGACAAAGAGTTCCGGCTAGAAACCAACTGTTCTGATTTTGCTACTGGGGCTGTTCTGTCAATCAAATGCCCTGACGATCTTTGGAGGCCTTGTGCCTATTTATCAAATAGTTTGTTGCCCACAGAGCGCAATTATCAAATCTACAATAAAGAGATGCTGGCCATCATTAGAGCTCTAGAGCAGTTGTGGCACTATTTAGAAGGTGCTAGGCACCAATTTGAAGTCTGGACCAATCATAAAAATCTGGAGTATTTTATGACGGCCCGTGACTTGAACCGGAGACAGGCCCGCTATGCGGTGTACTTGTCTATGTTTAATTATGAATTAATTCATAAGCCTGGAAGCTCTATGGGGAAAGCGGACGCTTTATCCAGAAGAGAGGATTATGCCAACGGCATCAAAGATGACAACAAAGGTGTCACCTTGATAGATCAATCAAGGCTTGCCAATGTTAGAATCGGGCATAATTCCGATCTTCTCGAAGTCTTCAAGAAAGACATCTCCTCAGAAGAGAAGGCGCACCTTGATGGCAATGAAAACTATTTATGGAAAGACGGGCTCTTTCATTTTAAAGACAAAATCTATGTGCCTGAGTCCACAAGGATCAAGGCAATAGATAGACATCACAACACTCCAGTGCCTGGGCACCCTGGGTGGCAATGAATGATGGAGTTGATCTCCAGAAACTATATGTGGCCTGGCATGGTCAAAGACGTACAGGAATACGTAAAATCCTGTCTGAGATGTGCCATGGCTAAGAACTCTCATCAACCACCGGCCGGTAAACTCATGCCAAATCTGATACCAGCTGGTCCCTGGCAGGATATATTGGTTGATTTTACAACAGATCTGCCTGAATCAAATGGGTATAATTCAGTAATGGTGATAGTAGATCGCTTCTCCAAAGAAGTGGTATTCATACCCACCAATAAAACCATTACCGCCGCTGGTACGGCAGATTTATTTAAAAATTTTGTATGGTCTATCCATGGGTTACCGGAAACGGTTATTTCCGATAGGGGACCTTAATTTGCTAGCAAGTTTACGGAAGATTTATGCCGCATGCTGGGCATCAAACATAAGTTATCCATGGTGTTCCATCCGCAGACCAATGGACAAACGGAGAGACTCAACCAGGAGTTGAAACAATATCTCCGGATATTTATTAATGACAGACAGACAGATTGGGCCAAGTGGCTAAAGATAGCCCAGTTCTCATATAATATCAAACAGTCGTCAGCTACAGGAAAGGCACCATTCGAGGTTACGAGATTGTACCTTCCTAGAATGGGTGTAGAACCTGGCAAAATCAAAAACAAGGCTGCTGGGAACATGGCCAAGGACATGAAGTCTGCCTTAGACGAAAGACGCAAGGTGCTATTCAAAACTGCAGAGCAGACGAAGGACAGGGCAGAGCGTAGACACTCTAAGGCCCCTGACTACAAGGTCGGCAACCTGGTCTAGTTAGATATGGACCACTTAAAGTTAAAAGATTGGCAGTCTAGAAAACTGACCGAAAAGTGGATTGGCCCTTACCAGATTAAGGAAGTCAAACCTAATGCAGTGGAGCTGGAACTCCCAAAACGAATGAGGGTAGTACCCACGGTCAATATTAGCCGTGTGAAACCCTATAAAGGGCCGCTGCCGGGACAGCGCATAGACCGGCCCAGACCGGTAGTAGTCACCCAGGAAGGTGAAGAAGAGTTTGAAGTCAAACGAGTGGTGGATGCACGCTTGAAGTGTGGAAAAATAGAGTTCCTAGTCCTATGGAAGGGCTATGGAGATGAGGACAGAACATGGGAACCAGAAGCCCATTTGGACAATTCTTGCGACACTGTTCGTGAATTTTATTCTAAGAATCCCTCGGCTCCTAGGAAGCTTAGAGGCATGGATTCAAAACTTTTTAATTCCCTTTTTCAACCTATGCCCGAAAATCTAACTACCACCTCCGGTATTTGGTCTTGCCTGGAAGTCAAGCCTTAGAGGGGGGTAGTGTTACAATAACATATTTTCGGACCTTTAACTTTCACTCTCCTCTTTAACCTTTTACTGTAGTTTTCACACACAGTGCCACGCGGCACTTTCCTTTTCGTTCAAACTCCTCTTTCTCGCGCCGCATGGCCTTTCTTCTTATTTTAGATACAAAGTATCTCACGCAGTGGAGCTGGTCACACGGGCTGCACCCATGACATCATCAGCCACTGCCTTCATCAACTGTATAGTACATATGTACAAACCAACCTGTAGTAGTATATATACCCCAATAGATCAAGGAGACTCCTCAGCGAGTCCTCCTGTTGTATACCAACTAACTCACTTCAGCCTAAGGGGTAACCACTCCCTCATCACTACCTTTATAGTGTGTCTTAGTGTGCACCAGAGTAACTAACTCTTGGTTGTTACAGCTGGGACGTCTTGGATGGGCACCCTATCACCCAGCCGGGTTGTCTTGGATGGGCAGCCTGTCACCCAGCTGGGTTGTTGAAGGTGGGCACAATAATATCACATCTAACATGGCCGGGCTGGCACGCTCCGCCAGACTCCGCGGGCCCCATCTATACAGTCATATTATCAGGTAATAATGCCCTGTCTAAGAAGGAAGGTTATTACTATACTATGTGATTCTGACATAGCAAACTTTTGACCACTTAACTGTTTTATTATTCTTCTTCTTCTTCCTGGACCTGTAGGTTCCAGGTTTCCATTTCAACATTGATGCTAGTTTTTTCAGCAGACTTTTTAGTTTGACTGTACAGTTTTACATAATACTACAATGTGCTACATGAAAATTACTTGAAACAGTTCTAAAAGACATGTGAGGTGCTGGTCGGGCCCAGGTCTGCCTTGGAGGGTGATGGTATTATTTATAAACATTGCACCACAGTGGCAGAACCACGGGTTGGAACTCGTAACACTGGTCTGACTGGGGAGACTATGGGACACGTGAGGTCGAGGTGTCCTGGAAAGGAGTCAGCGGCTTTTCATAACAATCAAGCTCACGGGGTCTGCCCCGGACGGTCATGTTATTACTACACTCTCACATGGCGCACCACACAAAAGTATATTACATCTCCTCGTTACAAGCCCTAAAGTTGTCAATCTTCAATAATCGAAGTAGCTATAGCTACCATGTCATCCATAAATTTTTCTAAGCTATTTTCATCGTATCCATCAGATGCCTGAAGGATTTACAGTTAGCACCATGGTCCCCAAAAAGCCACAGACTTACCACAATCTGAATGTAGACTTTCGACCTCAGTGACCAACAGTGAATAAACCTAGATATTGTCAGTAAATGTACATCAGTTCACAACAATACATACGGGCGATAGGAATGAGATTGGCGGTGGCCTAGGATCAATTCTTCAATGACCGCAATAGGTTGCTCAGATTCGGCGGGCCAAACCAAAGGCAAGTACCTTTCCACAACACCAAGATTGGTGGCCAATGATGTCAGCAGACTATCCTGAATGACTGTCTGAGCCGCTAAATGTGGTAGGTGTTTACTTGACAGCCATCTTCGATATTGACGCTTCAGGTTAACCATTATGTTTAGTACTTGCTCTCTCAAGCTTTTATCCCAAGGAATATCTTTTGTTCCAATAACGTTCGGCACAAAGCACATCGCCGAAGCCACGTGTGTTCGAGTATTGAAGGGTGGTACATAGAACTTATCCAAAGAAATTCTGCAGACAATTAATGAGCTTGTTTGATGTCACAGCAAAACAAGTTTCTTACATGGAAAAGTCCAAAAGTACATTTGTATCCTGCGTCAAGGTTGCCTGGACTGACTCTTGCTTAAAGATTGCAAGAACTTGGGCGGCATCAAGGAGAAAAGAAACACTTGAACTCGCTTGCTTTAGTGCAGCGAGGAGTTTGCTCGACGTATCGGCATCGATGACTCGCTTGATACGCAACGGATGTCCGTGCTGCTGAATTTGCATTCTCTCCGCAGTAATATTCCGTGAAAACTTTTTGCGTTTTTAAGATCGCATAGCGCCAAAAAAAGTAGTGTAAGGGACTTGCCTCCTGGTGAGTAGAAACAATATTTTTCATCGCTTCATGCAACAAGGGTACTTCAATTTCCCAATTGTCCTGCAGGCCTCCGCTTGCAGTAACAGGGCCTACAGGTAGATATTTCCACTCGAGCCCCCAATGCTGGTCCTCAATGGTTCTAGCCGATTTTGACGCAGTGAAATGATGGAATATGGTGTAAAGCATGTTGAGAACCGTGAACCCATCTGCGAGAAAGTGGGTTGCGTGTATAAAAATGGAATGCAAGCCAGTGCTGCGCAATAGAAGATGGCATGCAAAGTACTGTTTGCAAACCAAATCACTCTTATCCACTTCTGGAAGGTGGATTTCATTTTTCGAGAGGATGAAGTCGTCATCTGAAATATCATCACGGTGAACTGTCAGACTATCCCTTGCCCAGTTGCGCACATGCAGAGAATCAGGTGCGGGTGTGTAGAACCAAGCATGGCTATCTTGCTGACTGCGAATTTCTGCTGCGATCAAAGGAGAGAAAAATCTAGTACACCGTAAGCATTCATATGGGTTTATAAGATTAATCAGACCTTAGATGGCAAAGAGCATCACATATCTTTGTGGCCAAGGTGTCCTCGACGAAAGTGGATTCAAATGAGACCCCCATGCAGAATTCATTAGCTCTGTATCGGAGTTAGTCATGTCCCTCAGGAACGAGAGGCGACTACACAAACCCTTCTGTGAACTGGCTTATCTGGTAGTGCGTAGCCTCGGACCCTAAGAGAGGTCTGTAGAAAATTTTGAGTATCAATCTGCAGTCACTAAACATAATATAACTGACCGGGTATATACACCTTTGTCGTGCAACCATTGTCCTTCTACGGAAGACATGACTAGCTACTTAGTATTGAGATTTGGATGGAGTAGTCTGATCATTTGTATCCTGCACCAACGCCGCTTAAATATCCTATACGTTGCTGTGCCATTGGATCAGTGATGGCGAAATAGTTTTCTAGTATCGTACCACAAGCCTTCCAAAAGATCATCAAGTGAAAGGTACCAGCGCTGAAAAGGCAATAAGAATAAAATACCAGATCAACCACGAACTCGAAATAAAACTGATGAACAGCTACAAGTATTTCCGTTACTTTGATATTTAGGTGATGGTGGGCTGGCCCATCCTTAGTGTAGGACGTGATTGTGATGGTAGAACGTTGTACTTTATGTTCTGTTAGAAGCAAAACATCATGGTGTCATGCATATTTTGGGGAGTAGCAGATTTCGGTGAGCCAGTGGAATCCCACAGATAAGCAGAATCAGAAAATGATGGGCCAGAATTACCAGTCAATTACCAGTTGTAGAATACCTTGTTGTCATTCGGCGGTGTCTCAGGGAATCGAAGACACCTATTTCTGAACCGGTTTATAATGGAAGTGGCTTTGAATGCCGCCCTCATGCCATTTATGTCATGAATTAGTCTGCATTCAATGGCACGTCTGATACCGTAGCATCACGGGCATGAAAGGGTTCCAGCCAAGCTGGTATGTTTCACACAAACAGCATAACTTAGGGCCCGTTCGGCAGTCAAAACGAGAGCCGTTTGCAAACGCGCTCGTTTTGAATGAGCTGAGAGGCAAACGAAATTTCTCACGCTACGTCACGTCATATTAGCTGCGATATATATCGAAAGCGTAGAGTTCAGAATCAAGCCCCACCTAGTACTATATGCCTCGGCAGTAGCCACCATGCCGAATGGCAAGTTGTGCGGCTGCCGCATTCTTCGCTCACCCACAACAGCCCACCACCATGCCCGCTCTCTTAAGGCAGAAGTCTGTGAAGACGGTGACAGGGAAGAGGGGTCATCATGTGGAGTATTTGTCCCCCCGTTCGACATGAATCCACAAGGGATGTGATCGACACGAACAGCGAGCTCAAGGGTTGCCCAAGGTTGACGAGTTGCACTCGTCACAGCTTTGCTGCAACTGTCAGGTGCCTGCGGCACCTTCCACACCTGTGGTGCCACAAAAAACCACGCGAGCAAAACTAAGCGAAAAAATATGCTCCCACGTGCTCCGCATGCGACTTTTGGGACCACTGTCCCCTTCATTATAGATAATTACAGTTGGGGCACGCGGTGGCACACTCGGCACAATTTGGCGGAGTTATCATCATATCCATGTCAGCAACACTTCGGCAAATGGTGTGTCCAAATTCCACAATACCTTGTTAATGAAAAACACTGATATATATTGCAGCAAATATACTCTATTACACAAATTTCAGGATTGTACATCAAGTAAGCTTAGATCTCATCCATAATCGATGCTATCACATGACGTGACTTGGCCCGTGACAACCAGCGCAACGAGGCAGATCAGTTTGATTTTTTGTCATCTTTGCCACAGAAAATCTACCTCATCTTTATAAGGCACCAAATGTTTTTTGTGTTCTGCTCGCAGAAATCTATCTAATTATTGAGTCCAGCTTTTCTTGCAAAAGAAAAACCTAAGTAGTTAATATTGAGCGAGAAGATAGTGTTTTCTAGTTCATCACCAAGTGTAACACTTTTTGTCACATGATCACATGATGGCATCAAAGGCCAATCATATCTTATTGGTACTCAGTGGTGTGACAAGCTCTTTTCAAAACAAACTGTGTTGCTGAACATATTAGCCCATTTTGAAAGGGCACCATTTTGAAATGAAACAAGACTTTTTTGGCGGGCAACATTTCAAGACGGTGGCTGCCAAACAGGCCCTAATTTCAGCCACCTTGATGGCCTGACTGAAATACTTCAAATATCATCAATATATACTTTGTGATAGATTAACTAAAATTTTAGCAATGTTTTGAAAAATAACTGGGATGGTTCATGCCCAGTTTGAGGCTGACATATTGCTGGTTCTTTATAAACTAGGTTTTATTGGCTGAGCTGTTTACTTTTCAAAGAAGTAGCAATCAATAAGCGACATCAATTCTACAACAAGTGCCTTGCTTCAGACTTTAGAAAATTAAAAGTAGCATCACACCAGCATATATAAGTGAAGTGACATCCATTTT